CCCCCCGTCAAACCCCTTATTTTCCCGTTTTAACATGGCGGCGGAAGAATGGCCCTGAGGGGCAGAGATAAAAATCGCACCCAATTCCCGACGACAAAGCTGAGGGGAGCTGTTTGCCCCCTCTCTCCGATCCGACAACCCCCCCCCCCTTCTCCCCTGCCCTCCGCCATGCCTTTGTGCGAGGAAGCCAGGCCGGCGCGGCGGCGAATGAAGATGACGTCTGCGACCTTTCATATTTTATCCTATTTTTTTATCATTTTCTTGCGGATGTCGTCTCTTAAGACTCGTTTCCGGTCGGACAGCGAATATCTGAGGGCGAATAAGGACCCCGGCGGCCGCGCTCCGCCTTTGATATCCGCACCTGGGGTGCCTGGGGACGGAGGCGAGGGACACCACCTCCTCCTCCCCGGCGGCCGAGTGGCGACGACGCCGTCCGGGAGGGACCTGAACGAACACTGCGAGGGTCTCCGGCCCGGGGGAGCTAGGGAGGGAGGGGACAGGAGAAATTAAGACAAGCTCGCAAAAAAAAACCTAATCTGCTGTATCTAAACGTTAGCTGGCCAGACGCGATGCCAGGCATGGCCCCATGCTCAGCATATCGACGAGGTCGGAGAACAATAGATCGGAAAAAAATTGGTCGGACAAAACCTAGGTCGGACAGCACTTTTTGGGATTTGGGAAAAATCGCCAGGTCGGAGAAAAATGGGTCGGACACATGGCCCAGGTAGCGCAGACCCCTGGCGACCTTTGGCCCTGACGCGACGTGAAGCGAGGCATTCCACATCGAGCATCCGCGTCTCGACAGTCCCCCCCCCCCCTTCCGGACGCGCACCGAGGCCACTTCCTACGGCAATAACAATAATTGGGTTTACTAGGCGACTTCTGGAGCCGAACGGCGGCGCATTTGGTTGGAAAGCTTCTCTGGGCGCGGGGCGCGGTGCGGAGTAGGCAGCCCCTCCGGGCCGGGCCGGGGGAGTATCAAGTAAGTCGTCGTCGGCGACCATAAAACGGAGAGGATGATGGAGCGGGGCTGTGCATAAGCGGTGAGGAGGAGGATGAGGAGGACGGGGGAGGTATGAGGGACGGGAGACAAAAATGGGGCGAATGGATGCTGCGTCGCTGCGTCGTGACCGAGCGGTCATTCGCTTGAAGGCGGCCGGGACTACGGGGGCTGGTGGGGGCCAGCGGGG